CTGGCGGCGAAATTTCGCACTGCCCAAATATCTATATGTGTGTGTGTGTGTCTGTGTGTGTGTGTTATATGTGACCATGCCCCACACTGTCTGCACCCCCTTTTCCGAATCCAAGGTCCACCCATGCATGTACCTCAATTAGTCTAGAAAGCCGCTTGTACACGGCACGAGATTTCCCATTTACGTTGCCGCAACTGCATTTGTGTTTCCATGAGCTGGGTTTCCCGCCACTTCAGAAGTCTTTCCAGTGCGTTTTCAACTCAAGCTGTCCGGACATGTTTTATTTTGCGTCGCCCTATCTACGGATTCGCGGCGTGCAAACACTAAGCGACTCAAAGACTTGTAGCTCCTTCCTTTTGCCACCAGGGGGCAGCGTTGCTATGTCTGTAGCTCAGGCCTTTGGCCAGTAGGTGGCGCTGGTATCTGCTGCCTGCAGGCAGCCAGGGGGCAGCGCGCCCAGAGCATCTGTGGTAAAGTTACTGCGGTAGTAGAGAATACAGGTAAAGAAATAAAAGAGAAAAAGGAATGGAGGAGCAACCATCCCCTGTTTTTTACTACTACCCTCTGCTAGTGGTACCACCACCCCTAGTCCTGTATGTTCCCCCCACCCACGGCACCCCCCGCCTGCTGCGCCCCCCGCGGTGTTCACCACTGCCGATGAGCACAGCGGCACCACCGCTGCCAGCGCATAGTAAGTTTGCAACTTGTCGGACTTGTGTTTGGCGTGTGGCACCTTTTCTTAATACTTCAATATTTCTAATAATTGACTAATGCCATTCATTTCAGAAATATGAGCAATAGCGCAGGCAGACGCTGCATGCCAGACCTGACCTCCAGCATATGCAGCATCCCGGGTGACATATAGGTAATATCAGAAATGTCCCACGGACCTTGTGCGGGGGGCAGGGAGTGTTTGGGGCAAGAGGGTGGTGTCTGTGACTGTGATCCAAAACATCATCCTCTTCTTCTTTCTTCCCCTCCCTGCAGAAGACTTTCCAGATTGGAAATCGAGAAGGATCAGTAAGGAGAAAAATCATCAAGGATCCACCCACCAGGAGAAGCAAATTTGTTAAATAGTGTAGTAAATTTTATATAGAAAATAGTGTATATATAGTTAAATAATGTATCAGTAGTGAACAGATATCATATAGGTATTGTATGGATAGTGTAAATAAACAATGGGATCCTTTGCTTGGGGGTGTTTATGGAGTGATGGCATTATTGGAAAGAGTTGCAGGGTGGAGGCTGTTATGGGAGGTCCAAGGCTTAACGTACAGCGATCCTGGCAAGCCTGTGGGCGCAGCACTTATTTGCAAGCAGCGTTTCCCAAGAGTCGGTCGTGATCCTTCCTGACCTGTGTGGAGGAGCTCTTCCTAACGCAGGAGGTGCAAGGGCCAACCAGAGGTGATGCTCTGCTAGACTTGGACCTGGCCAAGGGAGGCGACCTGGTGACTGACTTAAATATAGAGGGAAGTCTAGGCAACAGTGACCACGAAACCATCATGTTCACTGTCCGACATAAGGCAGACGAATAGGATAGCAGGATTTAACTTTTGAACTTCAACAATGCAAATTTCAACAAGCTCAGGTCACTAGCAGGGCAAGTGCTGCGGGACCAGGGACAGAAGGTGAAAGGTGTGCACAAAGAGTGGTTGTTCCTTAAGGACACGATCCTTGAAGCACCAAGGAAGTCCATTCCTAGGTGGAGAAAAGGTACCAGAAGGGCTGGGAAGCCCTTTGGCTGAACAGGAAAATAGGGGTCCTCTTAAGAAGGAAGGCAGAGGCTTATAAACAGTGGAAGCTCAGGGCGGGCCCCAAGGAGCCTACTCCAGGACATCCTGCATTTGTAGGGAAGAGGTAGGACGGGCTAAAGCGATTAGGAACGGGGGTCAAGGACAAAAAGAAGTCCTTCTTAGGTACATAGGGAACAGGAGGAAAGTAAATGGGAGTGTGGGGCCATTGCTCAACGACCGTCACCCAGGACAAAGTTGAACTCTTGAACGACTACTTCGCCTCGGTCTTTCATCGGACCTAGAGGAAAACCACGCCAGGTAGAGTACAGGATGAACACGGCAGGAATAATCGCCTTCCGACTATTGCCGTAGAATCGGTGTAGGACCAATTAATAAAATTAGACCTATACAAGTCAGCGGGACCGGATGATCTTCATCCGAGAGTGCTGCAGAAGCTGGTGGAAGTCGTGGCGGAGCCCCTGGAGAACCTCTTCCATCAGTCGTGGCACTCGGGAGAAGTCCCCGAGGACTGGAAGCGGGCCAATGTTGTGCCCATCCACAAGGAGGGAGGAGCTGGGTGACAACAGGCCAATCAGCCTAACTTTCATCCTAGGGAAAATCCTAAAAAAGGTCATCAAGGAGTCTATGTGCGATATGCTTGCAAACGGGAAGATTGGATTGATAGCCAGCACGGCTTTGTTGTGGGCAGCTCTTGCCTTACCAACCGCATCTCCTTTCAAAACCAGGTCACTTGACCCCTGGACAGGAGAGAGCAGGTTGACATTGCATACCTCGACTTCTGAAAGGTCAGAGGGAGGGGTCAGGGGTCACGAGGGACGCACAGCCCCGCTGACCCGTGTCCCCCTCTGCAGCCCACACGGGCCAGGGCCGAGCCCATGCGGCTGCTCTCGGGGGAGCTGCACAAGGGGCCGGTGAGCGCAGCCCAGCTGGGCCAGATCCCCAGGGTGCCTGCAAGGGGGGCTGTGCAGGCTAGGGGCACCCCGGAATTGGGGGACAGGGCGGGAAGGGGAAATGTGGGATCCCAGGGGTGGGGGTCCTGGAGGGGCGCAGGACACATGGGTTGCCCGGGGTGGGGGCCTTGCAGGACAGGTGACACGTGGGTTCCCCAGGGTAGGGGTGCTGGAGGGCGGGGGACACGTGGGTTCCCAGGGGTGGGGGTGTTGAAGGGCTGGAGGGACACAGGATCCCCGGGGTGGGGGGGCTGCGC